TCCACCGACGTCCACATTCATTACAGACAACAAATGTTATCAGTCCATCAGCACTATATCTGTATACGTGAACAAGCCACTCTGGGTTCCACCTGCCTTGGCCACCTAATGCTCTCTGATGGCTTCTTTGGTCAAGTTTTTCCATATCTCTCTGAGCCCATCACTGGCCATTTCCTGTGCCATCATTCTAGCAAATAAGACACTAGGAATATTCTCACATGGTACATTTTCCCTTAAATTTGGATTCTTTGCTCTTTAAGATTTGATATCCTACTTCATACTCTACCTTTGCATTTTGTATCTATATTCCTTAATTTCTTGATATGCAGCCTCCTCAATTTGAGATCCTAATTCTTCCTCACCAGTTCCAATAGCAGCGTAGCCATCTCCTGTTCGGAGAGCTGCAGCAAGCACCTCCCAACACTTTAACCAAGCAGAGTCAGAAGTGCTTCATTCCTGAATAAAGGATGAAACACGAGTATCTAGAGCATTTGTCTCACCCTTTCTGCTGCTTGCATTGCCACCGGAGCTACTTTCTTCTCTCGCTTCAGGGCTATTCTGCAATGTTACTACAGGTTCTTTTTTCTTTTCTTCAGGGTCTTTTTTGGTTGATAGTAACTTTTTCCCAGATTTCATGACAGACTGTTGAAGATACAACTTCTTCATCTTTATGCTGCTTGCCATTAGCATTAACTGATATTCTGATTCTTCTCTGGGCTGTAATAATTCCGAGGTCATGGGAATATTTTTAAGCTCCTTTGGCAAATCCAATGCACCAGCTGTATTCTTCTGCACCATCTTGTCCATTTAGTTGGCCATGGGAACGACCTTGTCTTCTGTGGCTCTGGCAGGTCTTCCCCACACCCAGCCAGATGGAGGTGAGAAGTATGTAAACCCAAGGTGGAAAGGATGGCAAGAAACAAGTCTCCGTAGTCCTGACAGACTGGACCAGGCCCTTTCTCACAAACCAAGCCCATGGGGCAACCTGATTTACATGTTTAAAAGATCACTCTGACTATTGTGTGAAGAAAGGACAGATAGGGATAAACCAGTTAAGGAGGTGCTATAGCAGTCTAGCCCAGAAAATCACAGCCTACCCTAGAGCTGAGCTGTAGCAGATGAGATGGCAACAAGCAATCCTACTTTGAATGCACTTTGGAATAGAACAAACAACTTATTAATGGGCTGCCTGTTGCTTTGGGATGGTGTTACTTACTGAGATAAAGAAGGTTAGGTGAAAAAGCAGGTTTGGGGAAGAAAATCAGGAATTCTCTTTTGGACTTGTTAAACCAAGTAGAATGCCTTTTTGTATAACAGTTTTCACTCTTAAAATCAGTAATATTTCACATTCTCCCAATAAATAATCAAAATCAATCAACATGTGTGCAGAATCCAAAATGAAATACAAGCACTAATAAATACACATAGCTGTATTACAAATGAATGAGGAAACCACACTAAAGGGGCTGAGGAAGAAAATACAGTAGCTAACCTAGCTTTGGAGAACAGTGTTTTGACTAGATACGGTAAGGCTAAAAACAAAAAGAACTATAGGCAAGTACTGTACTCTAGTTAGTAAATATCTTTCTCACAGGGGTATGGGTTAAGAATCCTGAGACTATTTTATGGGTACACCAGGACTGAACAAGTAAATGAGTTTATTTTAACTAATGAGAGCCAGGTTTCTCACTGTTGGAGAAAGCAGTTACAAAAAAGGAAAAAGGGAAACAAGAATGAAACTTACAGAGTTGGAATGGTGTCAGAGCTATCAGTATGAACTCATGGTTTTCCACATACAAATAAAGGCAAAAAAAACACAGAATTATAGAGCTGTGTGTGTGTGTATGGGTTAGGATTCATACAGGCATTTCTGGCTCTATTGGCTGAGAGGACCTAGATGCAAGGACACCCTGGAATCAACCACTTCTTTCACAGAAACCTAGTGCCCAAGACCTAGGGCTCTTTGGAGAAGTGGTTCATCCCAGATAAGCCTGGAACATCTTGTGGGGCCAGAAAATAAATTGCCCAAAAGATGTTGAAGGCATATCAAAGTCATACAAGAGCTGACCTAAACGGGCTTTCAATAACCAAAGCTGAACAATTTGAGCAACAAAATAATTATAGTATTGAATTATAACGTATAGAATAAACATCCATGAGTCCATACAATTAAATGATTGAATAAAGAACTAATGAGAAAGACAGAACAGCTCGTTCACACAGAATAATTTCAACCAGTAAGTTAGGTGAAGGAAGTATAAAGTCACTATAGAGTAAATACCAATACAATAACTATTACAGGCAAGATGAACCAGTAGATGCTAAAATCATTGGGTGCAAGTTTGAGGAGACATAGTAGCATAGTCTCAAATTATCTAACCCAAAATATTCATGAATTAAAAAAAAAAAAAAAAAAAGTCAATTTTGAAGGTGGAAACCTGGCGGACACCACCTTAACAAAATGATCAGGGTTAACATGACCAGTAATAAACGATCTCAACATCATGCCACCCCCATGATATATTGAGAAGGACACAATCAGAAATATCACTTCAGTGATTTAAAAAATGGATAACGTCAACCTAATCATGAAAAAAAAAACTAGACAAACCCATATTAAAAGACATCCTAAAGACAATTAGCCAGTACTCATCAAAAGTGTCAAGGTCATAAAAGCCAGGAAAGTAGGAATTGTCACAGATTGAGGGAGACTAAGACGAGAACAAATAAATGAAATGTGAGATTGGATTCTGGAGTAGAAAAAGAACAATACAGGAAAAATTGGTGAAATTCAAATAAGGTCTGTAGTTTAGTTATCTAAAATAAGGTCTATAGTTATCTACAGTTAGTATTATGGAAGGTCTTTCTTCTTTTTCATACTTAATTTTTTATATTTTCTTAATTGAAAACACTACTTTTACACTAGGAAAAATAAATTTACTTATCACCTTTTCCTTTCTAACATGTTCATTTATTCAAAATTACATCATACAGAGTAATATAAAAGGGTATATAAATAGCAACTTTGCTTATTGGCTCAATTTGCCTCCCATGTATACCTACCACAGCTCTTGCTGTAAGCATTCTCCATAGCATGACAACATTCACTGTATGAAGAAGGTAAGGGCATCATCATCACTATGTGAAAAGGGCTCAGTGGCCAAGGGCTCTGTTAGGGGCTCTGTATTAGGGAAACAGGATTGTGGGTGACTTTCCCTCCTAAATTTTCAAATCAGGCTTTAACAGTACAAATATATTTTTAAAGTGAGGTACAGCATACATCCACCCTATGACCTAACAATTCCATCTCCAAATATTTATTCTTTTTTTTTCTTCTTCTTCTTTTTTGAGACAGAGTCTCACTCTGTTGCCCAGGCTGGAGTACAGTGGCGCAACCATAGCTCACTGCAGCCTCAACCTCCTGGGCTCAAGTGATCCTTCCACCTCAACCTCCCAAGGAGCAGGTGTGTACCACCACCCCCGGCTAATTTTTTGTACTTTTTGTAGAGACAGGTTTTGCCATGTTGCCCAGGCTGGGATCCCTAAATATTTACTCAAGGGGAAAAAATAAAATAAAGTACATATGTCCATGATACACATAATAACACACATGAATCTCAAAATTATGGTGACCCAAAAAAGCCAGACCAAAAAAGAGTATGCAATGTATGATTCCATTTATACGTGGTAGCTCTAGAAGAGACAAAAACTATCTATGCTTAAGGAAATAAAAGCAATGCTTGAGGGAGGATTGACTGGAAAGGGGTACAAGGGAACTTTCTGGGATGAAAAGATAGACATCTTCTGTATCTTAATCAGAATGATAGTGGCAAGATTGTACGCACTTATGAAAACTGATCAAACTATGCATCTTATTATGCACTTTATTGTAAGTTATGCCTCAATTTAAAAGAATCAGTACTGACTAGGGAAAAATCTGGCACAAAGATTTCATTTGGTTAAAGTGGCCAGTAACCTAAGTCATAATTATTTACCTAAATAAAATGTGAGTGTTGGTAGTTAAAAAAAATAAATAAATAAGCAGAGAAAATCCTGTCACATGCTACAACATGGATGAGCCTTGAAGACATTATGCTAACTAAAATAAGCCAGTCACAAAAGGACAAGTATGTCCCTGTATGTAGGTACCAATATGAGGTACCTAGAGTAGTCAAATTCACAGGGAAGGAAAGTACAATGGTGGTTGCCACGAGTGGGAGGAGGAAATGGAGAGTTATTATTTAAGGTACAGAGTTTCAGTTTGGGAAGAGAAAACAGTTCTGGAGATGGATGGTAATAATAGCTGCATAGCAATATGAATATAGTAATGCCAATGAATTGTACACTTAAAGATGACTAAAATGTAAATTTTGTTATGTATATTCTATCACAGTTTTTAAAAAAAACAAAATAAAAACTCTAAAATCTAGACTCATCATCTTATTGCTTAAATCAAAGGAATCACGGAGATCCACCTTGCTTGTATCCTTTGAAAGAAATCAATCATTCCTTTCTGAATCCTTCCGGGCATAAGCCATACGAAAACAGATTCTACACTTTTCTCTCATTTTATTTTCAAATCCTGCATCTACTAAGCTGTCATTACAGAAGTCTATGATGTTTGTTTCCTTCAGAGTAATGGTCCTTAATCATTCTGGGGTTACAGATGCTTTTGAAGAATCTGATAAAAGCCACTGACCACAATTCTTCATCTGAGGATAACGAAGCTGCTTCATCTAGTTCATGTATTAGGCTCTCGAAGGTTTATATTTTGAGAGGAACAAAGAACCAAATGTAACTGAATTATAGGCAGAAGTTGGAACTCAAAGCTTGCATGCAAGTCAGGCAGAGAGATGGAGGCTTCAGCCCACCTGCTTTGGAAAAACTCCATCCCACTTCCCTGGGCCTCAGTGCAATCAGCACCTTCAGCAAGCCCAGGGTTAATCTATCTGCCCACCTGGACAGAACCAGGAGCCAGCAGCACTACCCACATGGCTTACCTCATACTCGGAATGGCGTGGTAGCCCAATCGGAAGCGGAGTTTGCTGGACCCAGCAAAATCTACAATCACCTTTTCCCCCACAGTGTGCATATGCTTGAGGAGTTCAAGGTGCTCCCTGGTCACAGCCTTCAGACTGGAAATGGCGGTCCATGGTAAGACCAGCCAATGGTAACGGGCCTTCGGGTATTTATCCTTTATTACCACCACCTGCTCATCTTTGTAAACCTAGCAGAGGGACACAAGAGAAGGAAGCAGACATCTACTAAGAATCTTCTGTGTGCCTGGTTGTTATATTCTCTAAGTCACTTAATTCTCACAGTCTTGTGCAAATAGTTTTAGTAGCCCAGTTTTGAGAGACGAGAGCACTGAGATTCAAATAGGTTGAGTGTCTTGCACAAGTCATAGTTCCTAAGAGGGAAATCTAGGATTTCAACTCAGATCTAGCTGACTCCAGAGTCTGTTTTCAACCACCACACTACACAGAATACACAGAAGATGCATAGTACAAAATAGTTCCCAAGGATCTGATGTAAAATCTCTGTAGGCATAAATTCAAAAGCATCCTTCTCCACTCCAACATGGTAGACTGTGTGACACATACACATGGGTTCCAGTGAGCCCTATTAGACCTGCCCCTTGTCAACCAGGAATGTAACTGAAGTGTAACTCAAAGGCTCCTCAAGGATGATGCTTGTTTTTTTTTTTGGTTTTTTTGTTTTTTTTTTTTTTTTTGAGACGGAGTCTCGCTCTGTCGCCCAGGCTGGAGTGCAGTGGCCGGATCTCAGCTCACTGCAAGCTCCGCCTCCTGGGTTCACGCCATTCTCCTGCCTCAGCCTCCCGAGTAGCTGGGATTACAGGTGCCCGCCAACTCACCCAGCTAGTTTTTTGTATTTTTAGTAGAGACGGGGTTTTGCCGTATTAGCCA